CTAAGCAACTTTCATTTTTGGTACATTTTCAAAAGAGGTCATTTTCTTGCTCAAAATAATATTTGAAAACTGTTATTTGAAAATTTATTGAAAATAGAAATTGAAAAGAATGTTTCATGCTGGTCACGCCGCCTTTCCTTTCCAAATTTCCAGAAGCCGCCCCAATGAAGCCCCCACACACTGGCCTCGCCTCAGCCCACACAAGGCCCAATTGGCCCGCACCACACACAAGCTTTTCTTCTCTCCACAGCAGTGCCGTCTGCCATCGCCACACCACGTCTGATCACGTCAGCGACGCCCACCAGCGTGTCCGCCACGCTACCGGCTAGCTCGACCACCACGCAGTCACAACAAGCGGCTTGAAGAGGAGCGCGCTCCGCCGCCAACGCACGCGCTCGCCTTCACTCCTCCCAGACTGCCTTTCCTTCCGCCAGAGCCGCGAGCCCCGAAGCTCCGCCGCCAAGGCTCGAGCTCACGCCGTCAAACTCCCGCACCACCGCCATTCTCCAATTGTCACGCCTGCAGCTCCGCCTCGCCTTCCTTGAGGTCGCGCTCGAGCTTACTCCGCCTTTCCGAGCACAGGTCGGGCCTCCCTGCTCTCGCCGGCCGACGGCCATGGCGCCACTGCTGCTCGCCGCCATGGAACCCGCCTTCCTTCTCCCCTCCAAATCGCTTAGCTACCCTACTACCGAGCTCGCTTTCTCCTCGACGCCTCCTCAAGGCTGCTCATTGGCGCTACCATGGCCGGAGATTTGCCGCCGTCATGGCCGAGTTCTCGCATTGCAAGGCCAATACAAGGCCTCCAAGAAGGCGCTCGCTTCTACCGTCTGTGCCGAGCCAGTTTGGGGTTGACGCTACTGGGCCGCCTTCCTTCCCTCGCTTGGGCGCAAGAGGCCGGCTGCGTGGCTGGGCCGATTCATTTCGTGGGCCCCAAGAGTATTTAAATGATTTGTTTTCAATTTATTCATTATTATTTGAAAATGAAATGGTTTGCAAAATATTTGGATACTCAAAGTTGCTCCAAATTTGTTGAAACAAATTTTCTAGGTTCCTTATCACCAGATCTACTTGGGAAAAATAGTGCATGTCATTTTTGATATACTTTTCTGTAGGATTTTATTTAATCATAAATATTGGCTGATAACTTGAAAAATGCGTAGAAAAAATCTATAGTCTTCAGAAAAATATGATTGCAAGGTTGTTAATCTTACTATGTAATGTACTTCCTAGGAAAAATATATTTCATGCATGTACTGTGGAAAAATTTTGAGGTGTAGTTCAAGTACCTTAAATGGTTGATTTTTGTTATTTTTGCTAGAGAGCAAAATTTGTACAAAACATGCATGTGAAAATTTTTGACAGTCATTATATACCATGAAGAACCTAGGAAAAATATTAATTCTGTTGTTTGACACTTTTCATAGTACAAAGTAATTTCATGCTCATTTTTAGGCTATAGCTTGTCATTTTGTGTAGGATAGTTTACTTATCCAAATGCCATGAAATTTTATGGTAGTCTGTTTAGGGTAGTATTATGCTACTGTAATTTTCTCAGATTTTTAGGAGCATCAGAAATATATGTTGCTATTCAAACCTATTATTAATTAGGGTTTAAGCAAGTGTTGCCTTAAGTGTGATTAAGAAATTAGTAAAGCTTTGGTGTATCTTTGAAGCATTTAATAAAATATGTTGACTTAACATATTGGTAGTAGAAGAGAATGCAGTAGATGACATGTGCTTGTAGCATAGTTTCTTGGATGATGTTGACTACCTTGCCTTTCAACATATCCATTGCATTCATCTCCTTCGATGCACCGATTGCATAGGCACTTACACGCATTGCATCATACAGATCGCAAACCGAGAACCCAAATCGTCATTCCCGAGGAGCCCGAGGAGCGCTTCGAGGTGCAAATGCGAAGAAGTGCCGTGGCCGACGAGGAGGACGTTGAAGAACTTCCGGAGTGCCCCGATCACCGTCCGAGCTCCTTCGAGAGAGGCAAGCCCCGGAGCATCTTTCTCCCGGTTTGCAATGATTTCGTTAAAAGCTTTACTTGAAATTGATGCATTACGTTCAGAGTTGTTTGCAACCGCTTCTTGCATTATACCTTGTTTACCTTTGTTATACTATATCCTTGTTACCCGGTATCCGCAATGAGTCAATGCTTAGCTGGGCTTAGACCGGTAGAAGTCGGTGATTTCGCCACCGCGAGCTATAGGTGGTTACCGGATCTGTTTGGATGGCTATGAAGTCATGGTATAACTAAGTGTTAAATGAAGTTGAGACCGGGCGAGACTTGCGGGGTTTTGACCGTAGTGTTTCCGTCAGGTCGATTAAGGACCGACCGTTGTTGGGCCTCGAGTCATGTTGAACGATGCCTTACATTTAGTCGGGCCGGATAAAGTACCTTCCGACCGCTGAAGTTGGGAGATTTTTTCGGGCCGAGTAGATTGCCCGCAGCCGCACCGCGTCGGGAAGCAGGTGTGGTAGGACACGGGGCGGGATGATAAGACCAAAGTGCGTCGGTCGGCCCCGGTACATGTGGTTCTGGCAAACTCGAGATACCGGAAAGTTGACTCGGTGATCAATATCTCACTTTAGCGGGTGAGTGAGATTTGTGTAAGGAATAAATCACCAGCTGGTTAGGAATCGATTCGAATCGCCATCGCTCCTGGATAGTGAGCACTTGACTTGAGTTACTTCATCGTAGTAAATGTTTATGGAACACTTGGACGCTTATAGTGAATATGACAAGATGGAAGTTGTTTAATGATCAGTGGTTATCATTAATTGCTTAATCACATGTTTACTCTAGTATAGGTGCAAATCTAGTTGACAGGTTAATAATAAGTAACTTGGTAATAATGCTTTTAGAAAGGTTCTTGAAATGCTAAAAATGCTTCTTTTTGCAAATGAGTTAGCTACCCTACTATAAAGCCCTTCATAATCCTTGGTGTCATTTATTTTCGGTTATGTCGGGTAAGTCTGGCTGAGTATATTCTCGTACTCAGGGTTTTATTCCCACTTGTTGCAGATGGGCAGATGTACTATGGCTACTGTATCAACTGCCTTTATCCTGCGATGGGTGATGCTTAGGACCATGGGCATGGTCATTCCTTACGTCTCGTCTAATGCTTTTGTTGGAGATGATCATCAGCTGGCACTATATTTGAACTACGTGTGAGTGTGTGTGGTTTTAAACAAATGACTTCCGCTACTTTTATTCGAACTTGTTTTGTAATAACTATGTTTAAACTCTGATGTATCTGTTATGGAAACTCTGATGTAATAACTATGTTTAAACTCTGATGATTTTCTTACTTAATTTCGTATAATTGGTCGGTTCTGTTACAGCCTCAAAACACAGTGGACCTTACATTAAGTATAAACGCATCGGTCTATCAGGGCTGCAGTGAACAAAAACTAGGAACGGGAGCGATCTACAATTATTGGGGCCCACATGAGATAAGGTAACTTTACTCTCCAACCTAATGCGTGTGAGTAAAGGATCACTTGCTATAACTCTTTAATAGTATTTTATCAATGAAAAAAGTCTGCTTAACCCCCACTTTTTATACATAGAAAAAGTCTACTTAACCCCTCACATTTCATACATGGTCTACTTCATCCCCTAACTATGAAACCGTCTGTTTTACCCCCTGAACTTTTCAAAACCGTTTATTTTACCTCCCAGACGTTTTTGACAGCGGGTTTGCTACAGTAACGGCGGGTTTGCTACAGTACCGGTAGTTTTGAATTTTCTTTTTTTTTATTTTCGGTGAATTTTTGAAAAATCATAGTAAATCATAGAAAAATCATAAAATGAAAAATATAATTTTATTGGACTCCACATGAGTAGATCTACACAGTGAATATATAATAAGGTATGCTTTAGTACAAATTTTTTTTTGTAGCTTTAGATTAATTGGAAAATCTAATTTTTTCTGTAATTAATTAGAATTTATCTATAACTAAGTTATACATAGTCCAATGAGTACGAAATTTTTACTATAGTTCAAGCATACAATAATTAGTGTACCATAAAAATTTCACCAGAATTGGACCATAGAAGCTGCAGCTATGAATTATTCCAATTAATTACAGACAAAATTAGATTTTCTAATTAATCTAAGGCTACAGTAAAAATTTTGTACTAAAAGCATACCGTATTATATATTCACTGTGTAGATCTACTCATGTGGAGTCCAATAAAATTATATTTTTCATTTTATGATTTTTCTATGATTTACTATGATTTTTCAAAAATTCACCGAAAATAAATAAATAAAATTTAAACCCACCGTCACTGTAGCAACCCAACGTTATTGTAGCAACCCGCTGTTACTGTAGCAAAACCGCTGTAAAAAACCACCGGGGGGGATAAAATAGACGGTTTTGGAAAGTTAAGGGGGTAAAACAGACGGTTTCATAGTTGTGGAGTGAAGTAGACCATGTATGAAAGGTGGGGGGCTAAGTAGACTTTTTTTCTTTTATCAATTGGGCACCGACGCAAGTAGATGATCTGCTCCATCATCCGCTCCACATTCTCTATTTCAAGGATCACTTTAGCCATACACTATGAAAAGGCCTAAGGAAGGTGAAAAGGTTGAAAAATACCATCCCCCTTGGATCTATAATGAGATCGTGGTGCATATAAAAAAAGGAGATCCATAGAGAGAGGGGTAGAGATAAAGATGTATTGGAAAAATACATTACAAAGTGATAAGATTAAGAATTTTAGGATAAAATTTGAATTATACAAAATTATTTATTTTATACAAAATTTAAATTTTATAAAATCATCTGTAATTTTGGGGAGTACGCTACACACTACATATGCTTTTCGATTTGCCGTGCACGCACCGAGTGTATGCACCGGGCCACGGGTCCTGCAATTGCAAATCCCTTCCGGCGACACACCCAGGCCAGGCACCCAGCCATCCACTCTCCCGCTACAGCAGCCACCAGCCAATCGCAGCGCCGCGGCGGCTCATCCGACATGTCGTTCCGGCGCTTCCTTGGCCTCTCCGCCGCCGCATCCGGCCGCCTAGGCCGCGGGTTCTCCACGGCCGCCCGGCAACCTCCGTGGGATATGATCCACAAGCTCGCGTCGGTGAATACGCCGGCGCCGCGCGCGTCGCTCCGGCTCTCCGAACCCCCGTGCGCCTCCCGCCTCGTCGTCCCCGCCCACCTCGTACGCCCGCCGCGCGACGTCGACCCCCCAGGAGACACCATATACGCGGCCTTCGGCGGGATCGTCAAGGCCGGGAGCGGCGACGGCCTCCTCCTCACCTTCTTCGATATCCCCGCCACGGCCCCCGTTGTCCCCGGAGCCATCAGTGCCGGAGGCATTCGGCGACGCGTGGTGACTGGACTTGTCATGGACCCTGAAGTCATGCGCTTTGTCTGCAACCCCCTCAGCGGCCAGCTGTTCCTCCTCCCCGACATCGACGGCACGACGAAGACGGTGCAGTACACGAACGTCGGCATCCTCACCCAATCCGGACGCCCGGATCAACCGCCTGACAAGTACACCGTCGCTGTGCTCAACATCAGCCAGGACCGGAGCTTCGTCATGCGGCGATTTCTCTCGCAAACAGGGAAGTGGGACAAGCTGGTGGGTTTGCCGTCCCCGACCCCCCCCTCGCGCGCCCATGGACATGGACATGGGCGCACTCCACGAGGCGGTGGCCTTCGCCGGCCGGCTGTGGTGGGTCGACGTGACCTGCGGCGCCCTCTCCGTAGACCCGTTCAGTTCAGCGACCGGCCGGAGCTCCGCTTTACCGAGCTGCCGAGGGGCAGCGTGACTGAGCCCATGGACACGGAGAGGCGTGAGGAGCTTAGCAGGTACCCGGCGCATCGATGTCAGCGAGGGGAGGCTGCGCTACGCCGAGGTGTCTCAGGAGGAGCCTTTCCTGCTCAGCTCCTTCACTCTTGACGACGACGGCAGCTGCTGGACGCTGGAGCACCGGGTGGCGCTGCGCCGACTCTGGCCGCATGAAGACCTATGTGAGAACACGCCACAGATTGCTGTTGTTGACCCACTGAATGCAAGCATCATGCATCTCGCGATTGGCAGGCATGTTCTTTCCCTAGACATGGTCACGGGGAATTTGTTCCGGCGCGTGCTGATTTGTGAACATGGCCCAACAATAAATGATGTCCTAAAACCGTGTGTGCTCACGCCGTGGCTTCAATCAAGCAAGATCCCCTCTGCAGGTGACCATCTTTCACAAGGAGATGTATATACATGCTTGATACATGAGAAAGTACTTTTGTTGGATTAGATACATGCCTTTTCATTTTACATATCTGCTGAAATTGTATAATATTAGCTGGAGGTTTTGTGAATATATATTAGTATCAAATTGTTCTGAGGATCACCTCCGATAGTAACTGTGTACAGGTTTCTCGAAGGGCAGGGTTTGTTGGTAATAGTAGACTAGGTAGGAAACTTGAACGCATTGGCTTATGATTTTGTTAGCCCATGGTCTGCGAAAGATGTTCTGCTTCGAATTGAGCAGTTTGATTTTTGGGGAGCAATAATTACAATGCTCCTGTCTAAATTTTTGGTATAAAAAACCCTGGAGGCCTGAATTTATATTAGATTTTCTGTACTTCGTTCATTCTCTTTATCTTATTCATCTTCACAAAATTTAGTATTAAATAATTCATTTTGGAGTTGTGCTATCTGATTTAAGAACTTCACCCTCAAACTTTGTGTTAGACTGCTAGATGCTAAGATTATTAGCAGTGTTATCTTGAATAAAATTTCATCGTAGAAACTTATTATGACGAGAGACTAGAGTAATAAGCATGTATGCTCTTGTTGATTCAATGTATCAGTTTTGTTTTTCTCTTCAGTTATTATATTCAATATATTTGGAAATGTATTTCCACTGGGGTTTCTTTTCTGTTGCTCAGTTATTCATAGTCTTTCTATATATGATTGAAGGAACTCTTCCGAGGAACAAGAACAATGCCAAAAGCAATACTTTATCAGATTTTTTGGTTCGTGTAGACAGGGATAAGAAGAACTGAGATGAAGTAGCAAATGGGTTAATTGGTACTCCTTTAATCTAACTCTTCTCTCTCTTTTTTTTTTGCCATTTGTTCTTGAAGTGTATACTGTGGATCATGAGACACCAATGTATTAAAAAGGCGATTTTGGTTATGTATGAACTTGAGCAACTATTTTTTTTTTCCTTCAGTCTTGTGGTAGCACTTTAGACACCGTTGACTATAAAATAGCAATTTTGGTTAAACATGACCCTGAGAGTAAACTAAACATTATTACTATCATGTTCCAATATTGAATCTTGATCTGTCATCAGTTATGTGGATTAGTTGTTTCTTGAACGGCACCCATAACTTACTACGTAACTCCAAACTAGGGCAATGTACAAAGTATTCTGGTAGTAAAAAATAAAATACTTGCCATTTTGCCCTTTTATAGTTTTCGAGGTGCAACTTGACCAGAATTTTCTATTAGAACGTATTTAAAATTTTAAGGCATTTATGAGATTATTTAAGTACCCCCTCTATTCCAAATAATAGTTCACTTTAGACTTAAGTCAAACTTCTAAGTTTATAGAAAAAATACATTAACATCTAGAAGACTACGATATTAAATTAGTTTCATTAAATTTTCAATGAAATATGTCTTGATGGTGCACTGATGTGAACTTGTAGGTGTTAATATATTTTTTCTAAAAACTTGGTCAAACCGAGAGAAGTTTGACTTAGGATAAAGCCAAAATGAACTGTAATTTGGAATGGACGGTCCATTTCTCAAGACAAATCTACAAATATGGTTTTGTTTGCAAAAAAAAAATATTTAAAATTTATTTGTAGTCCACTTTCTTCAAAAGCATGACCATATTTTGTCCAAAACATGAAGCATTTATGACAGGAGGGAGTAACTAAGTATGGGAGCCTTAAAAATGTTTGGTCTTGTCATAATTAATTTATTATGGTTCATTGCCTCCTATAATTTTATGAGCAAATCATTAAAAGATTCTTGTTTCTTCATAAGTGATCTTTCTGCTATTTGCTGGAATCAAGAAATTTATTCAATGTAAGCATACCAAGTACATTGCTCTAAAAAACACAAAGAGATATGCTAGTATTTCTGTTTGCAGCGTATATAATTAATCGTCAGACATAATTAAGTGCAAACTAGAAATCTGCCTATAAAACACACTAAGGTGTAAGAGCTTAAAGGATGCTAGCCTTGTACTCATGATGAGCCACTACCATCCCTTTGTCCTAACTCCTAAGATATTATCACCTACGGAGTACAGATCAAACAAGTATTGCTATTTCATAACAAGGATCTAGGTGTAATCTTCTGTTAAATGAAGTCATGGATAAAACATTAGCATTCCATCTTTCCATTTTTATGAATCAGAGGGCTAGGTGGACACTTATAGTTTCCTGTCTGCTCGTGCTTTTGCGGAATGCAGTATATTGTTTTTTTATATACCGTTTGTTCTCTTCATGTTATTCAAACACTAACTAATATATTTGATTCAGGTCCCATGAAGACCAAATGATAGAGGTGTTTTAACGAACTAGGAAGTTGGTGGATGGTGCTTTGCAGAAGTCTCATTTTGGGCAACTCTGGAGAAGTTTGGGTCTATTGGCCCTTGCAGTTTAGCTTTTATTTGTCTTATTTATGAAGAAGTCTTGAGGAGGTTTTTGTTTTGTTGGGATTTTTTTTTTCTTTTTCGAAAGGGGTTGGGGCTTTGCTTGGACACATATTCAGAACACTGCAGTAGAATGACTTGGTTCAGTCAGAATGTAGTGGCCCTTAGCAGCAATACATCTCGATCTGTTCATTGCACGACAGCAAGCTCAACTTTTCCCATGAAAAAGGCAGATGAGTTGTAGAATAACTTGCCAGAAATCTTAATTTAGGCATCTCCTCTGTTTAGTGTTTACTCGTATCCTGGATATATCTGTGATCACATTGTTCAAGGGGATAAGTAATTCAGTATACCCTTACAGATGGTCAGGGAAATAGAATTATAACAATTCAGTGCTGGAGGAATGCATGCTTGATTATGGGCCCGTTTGGTACCGCTACTCGCACGGCTTCTGAAGTTGTTTTATGCCTCCACCAACCAAACGGTCTTAAGCGAGCGGCTCCCGCGGAGGATTCCCGGTTGCTGCGCTCTCACATGTTGCTGCGGTCCACTGGAGCCAAAAAATCGAGCTTCCACCGGCTCCTGTGTGACCCAGCAGTTATATCTCTTTGCCCCTAAAGTTCACAACAAATTACAGTATCCGCGTCTCCCCAACCAACCTTATCTGCTCGTTTGCAGGCTGAAGCCGCACGATGTGGAGAGAAGAAGCTCCGTCCTCCCTCCATGGATGCACGGCAGCCCGAGAGGCAAGATGGCGAGGGGGTTCTGGAGACCGATAGATCTGGCGGCGCTGAAGATGGATCCATGGGTGTCGCGGGCTCAGAAGGTGCGACGGCGGGAGGCTTCCGCGCCCTCCTCGCGGGAGCTGCAGGCGACGCCGTGGGCACCGGTCCCATCACCTGGCCGCCGGGCATGGCCCCAGGAGGTGGCGCGTGGCTGGGCGGCAGCACATGGCCGGGACCGCCCCCCGTTGGCGGCGCGTGGGTGGGCGCGGGCCCATGGCCGGGAGCGCCCCCGATTGGCGGCGCCTGGGCGAGCGCGGGCGCAGGAGGCGGCCCGTGGCCGGGCGCATCCGCAGGAGGCGGCGTGTGGCCTGCCCGCAGGCAGCGGCGCGACCCCAAGCGGCGGTGAACAAGCCAGCATGCGCCCTTCATGTGCAGGTGCGTCGACCGGTGTTCTTGGCAGTGGGAGCTGGGATTGGCGGATTTTTATGCATCAGGTGCCGCAGCTTTTGGGCCGGATTGGAGGACAACTGAAGATCCTGGGGGTGTTCGTGGGGAGATTGGTGGCTCATCATCTGCTCAGGGTCGTGGTGCCCCTGCTCGGTGACGAGGTGCTAGAAGTAGCCGCGCACAGAGGCCGCCAATTCCCGCTGCCCCTACATCTGACACCGTTGATCTCACTGATTCAAGGTATACAACTGTATCGTGTAGTAGTAGTCGTATTCCTTTTGTAGAGATCATTTATGCATGTTTAGTAATAGTCATATTATGGAACTTTGAGATTTGCTTGATGAAAATATTTGCATAGTCGTAATACGTAGCTTGCCACCATCTTATGAACATGAATTTGCACACAACAGCGAGGCCGTTTGGGATGATGAGAATACTAGTATATTGTGTGATATTTTTGCCAATGAAGTTCAGAAAGGCAACAGTGCGAACACTCATTTGAGTAAATACCGGCTATAAGAATGTAATTCAAAGGTTCAAAGAACGGACTGGGCTTGAGTACAGTAGAAGGCAATTCAAGAATAAATGGGATAAATTGAAAGATGAATATGCTGTTTGGAAGAAGCTTACAAACAAGCAGACATGCATTGGATGGGATGCAGGGAGAAAGAATATTGACATGCCAGAGAGTTGGTGGAAGCAGACATCAAAAGTAAACATCATCACCAGGGTTGCAATTTTTTGTTTTTGGAATTCACCCAATAATTATTTTCTTTTTGGAATTTAGGAAATCAAGGGGTGCATGTGGTTCAGGCATAGAGGCCTCCAGAATGAAAACAAGTTGGAAATTATGTTTGAAGATCTTCGTAACACCGGTGATGATGCATGGTGTGCCTCTAGTGGTGTACCACCTTCCCAAGCGAGCCCGTCATGTGACAATTCACCCATCAATGTTGATGAAGAAGGTGAAGACAACATCGATGATGACAGTGAACCAGAGGCGGTGACACTAACTAGTGCGCTTGGAAAGAGAAGCGGAGGGACAGTTACCAACAAACGCCCTGTTCGCTTGGCTTATAAGCCATACTTTTTCAGCCAACAAACAATATTTTTTCTCT